TTGAAGATTTCTAAATATAAATATTTTTAAAATAAAATTATTCCAAAAATAAAAAACAATATTATAATTAGAAAATAGAAAAGAAAATTTAATTTCGAACAAAAATGGAAGATTTCTAAATATAAACATTTTTAAAATAATATTATTTAAAAAATAAAAAACAATATTATAATTAGAAAATAAGAATGAAAATTATTTTAAAAATAAAAAACAATATTATTATTAGAAAATAAAAATTTAATTTTGAAAAAATTAAAGATTTCTAAATATAAATATTGAAAAATAAAATTTTTTCAAAAATTAAAAAATATATCTAATTAAAAAATAGAAAAGTAATTTTGGAAAAAATTGAAGATTTCTAAATATAAATATTTCAAAAATAAAATGATTTCGAAAATTAAAAAAATACATCTACGTAGGTAATTAAAAATAAAAATTTAATTTTGAAAAAAATTAAAGATTTCTAAATATAAATGTTATGAAAATAAAATAATTGGAAAAATAAAAAAAATATAATTTTAATTGAGAAATAAAAATGATGGATTTGTACTCAAATAATAAATTTCAAATAGAGTTCAAAATTTTATGACTCACTTTTCTATTTTGGACATTCGTATCATATTAAATTGAGTGAAATATTTTCAAAATATTATTTCAAATATTATGAATCCAACCCAAAGCTTTTTCCGATAGAAAAATAAATTAACGATTCCTACAAATTGATATCGATTTTTTTTACCTCAATAGCCGTAAAATTTTTAAATTAAAAAAAAAAGAACCACTACAATTGAACAAGAGAAATTTCGCAATTTTTCGACAAGAAATCAATTTTTACATATTCTCATCACCTTCTCAGGTGATAGACTTTATATTATCTCAAAAAAAGAAAATATCTGATTTTGCCTGTTAGATTACCTTTTTTCTTCCAATCGACGACGAATTCTGTTGATATTTATCAACAATTCCCAAAAGACAATCGTCACACTTGCAGTAACGACTAAACGATGCAGATTCATTGGAAATAATTGAACCAAATGTACTCGTACTTGTTTGACTGTCCATTGAATCAGTTCTCAAAAGCAATGATTTATTTTTCAGAAGATGAAGATTATCGTCGTGATTATCCGAAACTGATTGTCTCTCAATCTTCGCCAAGAGAAGTTGCTCCATTAGATTTAAACACGGAGACGTTGGCGTTGTTGGATTCTGCGTCATCTTCGAGCACCGTGAATTTGCTTCTTTATCCTCAGTATCCATCATTTTCTTTTTTTTTTCTTTTCTTTTTCCCTTCTTTTCAAAATAGAGAGAAATAAAAACAAAATTTCTCACAAATTCTTTTTTCTCGAAAAATAAAAATTCAAATTTTCAATTATATTATTCGAAAAAAATAAATTCAAGCAATAGAGATAATTTTTTCAAAAACATGTTTTTTCCTCTCAATTGTTACAAATTGTTTATTTCCGTTTATGCAATCGTAATTGTTCATTATTGTTTTTTTCTCGTCAAAAATTTTTACACTGTATACGGAGCAGAGTTCTGAGAATTTTTTTTTTCACTGATGAAAATTTATTTGTTTATGCACTTTTATTTTCATTAAATTTCATTTGACTGAAAATTGTCACTTTTTATTAAAAATTATTAAAAATGAATTAGTAATAAAAATAAAAAAAAATTATTATTCTATTCAGATCGAATTATTTTGAATCGAAAATTATTTCTGTATTCAAACAAGGGAGACTTGGTTGCGTTTCAACCAACAAAAGTGAACTAAAGCGACTTTCTATATTGGTTACTTACGCGCGTTTATTTCCCTCCTGAAAAAAAATTTTACCCATAATCTCAACTGAACAAGTAGATATGTACCTTTCTCGTGAGAAGAGAAAAAATTGTAAATCTTATCTTTTATACGCTTTGCTCACGTCATGAGTCTGTTAAGCCAAAAGATGTTTATTTTTCCGTGAAAAAAAGAAAAACTAATCATTAATTTCGGCGACAAAAATTTTATTCTCCAATTTTGCAAAGAAAGAGAAAAAAATTTTTTTTTTCGTGAATTGAACGAAAATTCCGGATTTTGAAAGAAATATTCAATTTAGTGAAGAATGTTTTTGCAAAATCAAGCGAGTATTTAATAAAGACGTTAAACGAATTTGATTGGATTTTCAAAAGTCAACCCGAGGCAGTTTTCATTTTTTTTTCGACGGTGAAAATTTAATGCTTTCACAGACACTTAAAATCCATTCTCCTAAATGACTGAGATCGTTAAAGGATAATAAAAAATTTTTTTTTCAAAGGATAATTAACAAAAATCTCGTTAATACGGTATTGTTTTTTTTTCAATAAGCACTTAAAGAAAAGAGGAAGAAAAAATAATTTGACATTTCTTCCTGGTTCCAAGTCCAAATGAATTTTGGACAACTTGATGGCAATTTTATTAATGAGATATAAACATGCAATCGGTAAGCATGTATATACAAAAAAATAAAACGATTCGACGTCATAAAAATCCAATGTTCCTTGGCCATCGGACCGAAAAAGGAAACAGCTTTTGCAAACTCGTACATACTTTATATTTTGCAGTGTCACAAATTTGGGATTGAAATGCCACTAAAATTCAACGTTCAGTTTGAAGAAGAAGAAGAAGTTAAAAAAACACCATTCATTTTCACTTTCAAAACAATCTTTCCATTTTTAGTTTTGAAAAAAAAAATTTCCCTCCAGTTGGAAAAATTTCTAGAGAATAAAATTCTAATATAGAAAAAATTCTTTTTTTTCTTTTATTTATATTTGAAAATTTGTTTCAATTTTACGTATTTGGTATTTTCGAGAAAAGAACAAAAATGTTTACCGATCGAAATTTTGAATTTTTTGCCAAAAATCCCTTTTGAATAATAAAGGAAAATTGCCTTAAATCACGAAACTATAAATGTTTTCTATAAATCTCATATCGAGATTCTATGACCGAATAAAGAAAGCAGAATCCAAGAGCGAAGTGAATTACCGAGAGTGACTGACTGAGTGACTGACTGGCTCGAGGATGGTCATTACTTAAGAGACTTGCTCAGAATTTGCTCCCCTACATTTTTATGAACACGGTACACATAATATTGTTCGTTTCTCTGTCAGACTTGTTTGTACTGATTTTATTTCTTCTTTGAAAAAAAAAGATTATCTCTCGTTAAAATTGAATTTAACGAATGTTTCAATTAGCAACTCTGCAGGTGTGAAAGTTTTTGACGAGAATCCTTTTTAAACAAACCTTTTTTTTCTACTTCTCTTTTTCTTTTTCGAAGAAAAAACTTCAATTACATCAACTGAACACTTTCATTTTTATTCAGAATTAAATTAAAAACTCGAGAAAAAATTGTCTAAGTTTTTCCTTTGCTTGAAAATTTGAATTTTTCTTTTTCTCGATTCTTTTTTTTCTCTGTTCAATTTGTAGTGATATTTGAAAATAAAAATCATTCCTCAAAGTAGAAATTCAATTGAATTTGTTCAAATGATAATTTTTCCTAAAAGGAAGAAAAGCGAGTTTTGTACTTCGTTTATTGATTTGCAATAAATTTGCAAAAAGCTAAAAAAAGTAACGAAGTTCTGACAAGTCGAAGATGAAGAAACTTTAACTCTAAGAATGGTACTTAGAGTTCATTCAACTTGAACGTAACATCTTGATTTCTGACGTCATTGCTTGCAATATAAATCTTCATCTTACGACAAAGATATGCTTTAATGTTCATTTTTGATGACGCACATTTACCTGAACGAGTAAAGGCAAATTTCAATGAATCTACCAAATTTCGATGTTAATTTTCCAAGAAATAGTAAATTTTCAATCTCATGAATTTGTAATTGGGATTTTTTTTCGAATCATTAATTCACAAATGTGACACAATATTTTGATAAATATGAACAAATTTTAATTATCGAGAATAAAAAAAAAAATAAAAACTAAAGTGTAAAAGTGACTGGGGAAAAAAATTAATTGATGAATGAAAAAAAGATTTCGTCATTATCAATATCGAACGTACAAACTAGAAAAGAATAAGAGAAAGTAAAATTGTAGAATGTTAAAAATTAATTTCAAAAAAATAATTTCAAGATGAAGATTAAAACCAAATGTTATTAGATGAATTAACATCGAAATCTCTGAACGAAAATATTCTCGAAGCATAATTTATAACTCTACTTGCCTTCTGGCAAAGCGGATGTTCTATATCTAGAATATCGTACCTTGTTGCGAAATTCTACCTTTCTCTTAATCCCATATTTTATGATATACATGACAATATAATTTTTTCAAAAAAAAATACATATCTTCAAATCAAAATTGTTTTTCTACTCTTAAAATATTGTCATAATGAATTATTTCACTGAACAGAAATAAATTCATTCTCCCCAGATTGTCGATTTTCCTAAATAATAAATTCTATTTTTTATTTTTTATTTCCTAAATTCTCTTGTATTTAAAAATATGTGACTATTATAAAATCTCTCTTAATTATCCCCATTCGAATTTGACGTAAGAATCCGAATTGACTCAATTAAAGACGTCAGCCCAACATTATAACGAAATATTTCTGTTTGCTTATTCACTGATTTTGTTTTTTTTTCTTTTTGTTTAACTTCCTTCATTATTATTTTATCTACGTTGCCAATCAATTTATCTTATTTTTTTCACCTAAGAAAATATTGACTAAGCTTTGGATTTTTTTCAAAAAGTTTACAGAAAAAAAAAACTTTATAGAATTGAAATAATAGAAAGATAAATGAAAACAAGTTTCGACCCATTTACTGACGATTCAAATAATATAAAAGAAAATATTTAAAATAATTAAATTCAAATATTGAAATATTAAATAAATTAAATTCAAATATTGAAATATATTTTCAGTGTGTATTATTTGATAAAAAAGTGCAAATAAGAAAATAGAGAATTCACGACTAACTCGATAGATGGCAACTCCGAGCAAGAAAATCATATTATGAAAATTACTCCTACTCACCTTGGAAGGTTTTACTGGTTGAAGTTCAGTAACCTCGAATTCATCTCCACTTAAACTCGAATTTGTCGAACAATCCGATATTTTTCTCACCGGTGGTATATTCAATAAAATAGAATCCTTCTCCTGCTCCGCAGAAATGGAATAATTCTGATTTTCCTCCTCTTGTAACTTTGTAAAATACGGATTTGACGAACCCAAACAGGAATTTCTCCTCGTTCCATTCTCGTGAAGATTTCTACAAAAAAAAAATAGTTACAATTATAATCATAAATTACATGTATTTGGAAAATTATTAATTTGTTGGAAAATAATTTAATTACTGAACAAAGAAAAAAATGGTATACACAACAAAAGTTTAAAACTAATAATTAAAAGACGTAATCGACTTTTTTCTATTAGATAATAAAATGAATAATATATAATTTTTTACTTATTGGTTGTAATTTTCTGTTTAAGTTCATTACTTTAACTCTTCTTTTAATTTTTTAACTTTTTAATTTCTTAATTTTTCAATTATTTAATTTTTTCAATGCAAATTACTTTTTCAAAAGAGAATGAAAAAAAGAAAGAGGATTGAAATTTCTCCGTAAATGGAGATACGATTTCAATATAAAACCATTGACGTAAGTCAATTCTATGTACGCTGATGATTTCTTTTATTTTACATCCAACTCGATTCCCTTGGTGCGAAGGCCGGGACTATCGTATAAAAACGCAAATCATACGAGGGCACACTCTTCAATTTACTATTATCACTCTCAGTTCCGCCAACACACATTGCTTATCAGGATATCTCTTCGCTCCTATTTCAGATTAATTTCGAAAAAAAACATTTTCCAATATTATTCTATCGAGCAAATATTCAATTTCTAGTTAATTAGAACGTGCAACCATATTTCGTTTTCGAAAAAAACGATTTATTTATTTAAACAAAATTAATATTTCCTTCTCGAAATTAATTAAAAAAAGTAAATAGTTTTGTAAAAATGAATATTAAATTTCTTTTTTAATTATATAATTTCTTTTTCGAAACAAAAATTCCACTTCCGTGACATATTTTCTTTTCTATCCATTTTTATTTCTCTCTATCCATTAAAGTATGAGTACTATATGTTAATCAAGTTTATAAAAAGCCACTGCTCAACATACAATGAATGAGTTTAAATTCAAAGCGACCCAGACATTGAATTTGCAAAAATATTTACGTTCAATTTAATGCACGATCAATAGCCTCGAAATGATTGCGACACTTTATTATTAATTTTTTTCCCTTTCTAGATATTTCTTCGTTATTCCGAGGAGAACAAGAATGTGAATTGAAAATAAAATAATATAAACACTCTTTTGAAAACTACTCTTTTGTGTATTTTACCTCGTTGATGAAATTGCCGTGGGACTGATGCAAAGACAACAGGAATCCGAATGACGACGATCGCGACAAACTTTAAGGAGATGATTGTCTTCTTGAAATTCACGAATTTCATCGCAATCGAGACATGAACAACTGCTCGCTTGACTTGGAGTTCCACTGAGTCCACCGAATTTTTCCAAATCAGGATCACTCCTCTCAAATCTCTCGTCAATAAATGAATAATCCGAATAGTCACTAACAACAACACTTGGTGTTCGCCAATATCTTGGTCTTCCTTCATTCGCCTCATAATCAGCATTGTCCGTTAATATTGTATTCGCCCAGCCTAAAAGTAGAAAATAATTTATTATTTCATTCGAAAGCTGATGATTAAAGTTCTATCATTTTATCCAAAAGCTGATAATTAAAGTTCTATCATTTCCAGGGTTGTTAGGCATTTGCTCTTTTCAAATTCCCTGACTTTTCCAGATTTTCCAGGTTAAAAAACGGAATTTTTCCAAGTTTTTAAAACGAAAATTATTCGAAAATATCAATAACTTCATTTTTAAACAAATATTTAATCATTTTTTTATAGAAATTAAGATATTCAAAAATTTGAAATTCAATAACATATAAGAATATTATTATGAAACATGAAGATATCGATCGCTTTCTTCATGTTTTATAATAATTAAAACTTGCTAATTTTTTACTGTAACTTCTTCAGAAATTATTTTCATCATTAGATACGATTGTTCATTTCTAGAATTTTCAACTAAAATTCTTCTTTAGGTCAATTTTTTTTAATAATTTATGAAAAAATTCTTTGTGAATTTTCAAATTCTTTTGTTTACAATTTAATTTTACGAAATTTCGATTATTCTGACATTCTTCAAATAAATATATTAGAAATTAAAAACTTCAAATTCAAAAAATTCCTTTTTAAATCAATATTTATTAGAAAATTCTACAAGAATTCAATTATTTAACTATAAAAATAAATATTTTATTAAACAATTCAATGTTTCTTAAAATTGAATTTTTATAAAGAATTTTATTAACAAATTTTTAAATAATTAAAATTATGACAAGAATTTTATTAAAAGTTTTAAAAATAATTGAATTTCTCGAAAAATGCAATTATTTTTAAAAATTTTAATAAAATTTTTAAGAATAATTGCATTTTTCGAGAAATTTGATGAAAAGTATATTACAAATAATTGAAATTTTGACAAGAATTTTATTAAAAGTTTTGAAAATAATTGAATTTCGGAGAAAAATTTTATTATTTATAAAAATTTTAATAAAATTTTTAAGAATAATTGCATTTTTCGATAAATTTGATGAAAAATGTATTAAAAATGTAACTGAAATTCTGCCAAGAATTTTATTAAAAGTTTTGAAAATAATTGAATTTCGGAGAAAAATGTTATTATTTATAAAGATAATTGAAATTTTGATGAAAATTATTGTAGATTTTTAAACATGATTGGATTTTTGCGAAGAATTTTATTAAAATTATTTTCAAAAAAATTGAATTGTTACGCAAAGAATTTCATTAAAATTTTTGAAAATAATTTTATTCTTTAAATAAATTTAATTAAAACTGTATTGAAAATAATACCTACTTAAATTAGAATAAATAAATTATAGCAAAGGTTATTAAAATAATTAAATTTCTTTGATAAATTTTAATAAAATTTTTAAGAATAATTACATTTTTCGAGGAACTCTATTAAAATTGTATTAAAAATAATTGTAATTCAGCATTGAATTTTATTATTTATGAAAAGAATTGAATAATATATGAAAATAATTTGTAAATAATTGAATTCCTGTAAAAATTTCTATTATTTATGAAAATAATTAAATGTTTGCGTAGAATTTTATTAAACATTTTTTTTAACTAATTAAATTCTTTTAGGAATTTTTATTAAAGTAGAAGATATTAAAAACCATTGAATTGAGGAAAGTTTTTGAAAATAATTAAAATTTTGCCAAGAATTGTATTAAAATTTTTGAAAATAATTGAATTTCTGCAATCATTTGTAGTTGCTTCAAAATTCAATTTGTTTTAGTGTTTTCAACTAAAATTCTTCTATAAATTCAGTATTTTTAATAAAACTAATTAAATATATATTACAAAATTTAACTAATTTCAGAAAAATTTTAGTTTAAATTTTTTTTTTTAAATCTAAGTTTTTTATATTCCTAATTAAATTAATTTAAAATTGAAATTTTACAAAATTTTTTAAAATTAATCTACTTATGAAGATTGTAAACGTAATTCTTTTAAAATTGAATTAATTTGAAAATATTTAAGTGAAATTTCATCCGAAAGATGATAATTAAATTTCTATCATTTCTATATCATTCCATTATTAAGTATTTATTCAAAAAATAATATTTTTTTAATGCTCCTTTATTTATTAAATAATATTTATTTCAACTCGATGGAAATAATATTCACCTTTCAATTGATCGTCATCACTGAGAACTGCGCTGTCAGAACTGCAACATCTCGTAACTTGCAGTTTTTGTTTTCTATTCTGCTGATCGCTTTGCGAAAGATCCTCATCGCTCGGAACTGTTGAATCAAAACTCCAACATCGGCCCATAACAGAGCGCTTCCTTTCCGAATCCGTCTCGATTCCCTCGTCACTCAATGGACTTTTACTCAAAGTTCTCGCAATCGGCATCTTTATTATATCAAATTCGTCGTATTTTTCATTGGCCTCCTCCACTGGATCTACCATTTCGTTCACTTTATCCTGAAATTAGAAAAATATGTTTAGAATACAATCAAAAACTTACCAAAATAAAAACTTTTATTCTATATATAAATTTTTAAAACATAAAATTTAACTTTTTAATTATACATTTAATTATTACAGTCAGTGATTAATGAAAATATTTCTAATAAAAAACAATTTTTTCATTTGAACGTTCAAAACTTGTTTTTTGTTCAATTTTAAAAGAAGTCGAAAAGAAAACAACTTGACAACTTCTTGTCAAAAAAAAAGAGAAAAAGATTATTATTAAAAAAAATTGAATTAATTATAATTAACTTTATTAAAGTCTGTGGTTTTTCATTCTGTCCGTTCGCAGTATGAAGTTAGTTGTTAGTTATCATTTGCGAATTATTATCATGATTTTTTTGTTTGTTTATATTTTTCGTGATGTTTTGACATTTCCGATGTTATGTTATGCGGTAGTGCGGGTGTTTTTAAAAAACGTTAAATTGTGACAAGAATTATTGTGTTTGAAAAATCGTGGAAAAATATCTGGTATCAGGCGAGAGGTTACCGTTTTCAGTGGAAAAAAAACTGTAGATTGGTAAATTCTAATTATTAATTAAAATTTTCTTCTTAATTAAATCATTTATATTATTTCATTTTATTTTGTTAAATAAAAATCTCAAAATAACTTAAAAACAAATTTTATTCGTATATCTTATTATTATTATTATTTTTTTTTTATTTATAATTATAATTGATAATATTTATTGTATTTTGATTTATTATTATTATTGAAAATTTTATGCATTTTTAAAATCTAAAAAAACTGAAATATCGAATTGTCAATAAAAGTTGTATTATTTTCAATTTTCAACGATTATTAATTTTAATTAAAAAATTCAATTTTCCTGAATCAATAAAAAATATCGTTCTAAATTTTATTACATTGGTCGTTTTCGTAAATTACTATTCAATAATATTAATTATTCAAAATAATTAATTTTTTAATATTTAATTTTTCAAAAATTTAATTAATCTTCAATTATTAACTTATACAGTGCAGGATCTAGAGTCTAAATTTTTTGGGAAGAGCGATCCCTTTAGTGTGTGCTTTTTTTGATTGCTATTATGAGTGATAATAGCTCCTGGTTCTTTTATGTTTAAAAAATTGTTCGAAATAATTAATTTTTCAAAAATGAAAAAAAAAATTCAATTGTTTCAAATTTTAATTAATTTTAAAAAAATGATTTTACACAAAAAATTTATTTATTTTTAAAAATAATTGCAATTCAAAATCTATTTGAATTTAGTATTTTAATAAATTACTTTTTTTATTATGTTAAAAATAAATTGTTTTTTTAAATATTTTATTAATTTTTTACAATATTTGAATTTTAAATAATTCAAAAGTCAATTATTAATTATTCAAAAATAAATCAAACAATTTTAATTAATTCAAAAATAAATTATTCTGTTTTTAATAAAAATTTAATTATTTTGAAATCATTGAAAAATGTAATTGTTCAAAATAATAATTAATTATTCAAATATCAAAAATACAATTAATTCAAAATTAAATTATTTCATTTTAAATAAAAAATTGAAATTAATTTATTGGCACTTACGTAAAAAATAAACGTATTTCTGTGTGTGTTTGTGTGTAGAATTAACTTATAAGTGCTTTCTTTTGCAAGAATTAAACTTATCGTTATCTTCTGTTCAAATAAAATATAAAATGTTAATGTTTTTTTTAACACAATATTATAGAAAATAGATTTTCTAAAAAGAAAAAAAAATAATGAACTTAAAAAAAATACTTTAGGCACCGCCTTTCATTTCAACTATTTAAATACTATCAAGTCTTTTAAAGACTATATAAAGTCTTCAAATCATGAAAAATACATAATAAAAAATTGAATTATTCCGAAATAAAATTCAAAAATCAACAAAACAATCAATTTACAATTAGGGCCATTTGGGGTAATTGTAAACAAGGGATAAATGTAAACAATAGATGTTTCAACTAAATTTACAAATTTAAAAATTAGTTTTAAAAACTTGAAAAAAATTGTTCATAAATTTAAATTACTTTAAAAATATCCAATTAAAATTATTAAAGAAACACAATTATTAAACAAAAAATAAAAAATAATTCTTCAGAAAAATTTAATTAGGGTTTCCAAAATTGATTTAATGATTTTTAGCGAAAATTGAATTATTTTCATAAATAATGACATTTTTTGAAGAAATTCAATGATTCTCAAATTTTTTGCAAGAATTTAAATGAAATTCAATATATTAATTTTAATTAAAGAGGCATTTCACGTCAGAAATATCACGATTTGCAAAGGGTATGCCGATTTTCGCAAAAGTTTGTGGGATTATAGTTCTATATAAGAGACTTCTTTCCCCCAAATTTTTTCAAAAAAAATTCAAAATTGTTGAAGATACGCCATTTTGAATTTTAATATTAATTTTATAAAATTTTGAATATCTCGGAATATTGTTTATGGATTTTTATGAAATTTACACATTTTTCAGGTAAAAGTATGTACTTTAAAATGCAAATAAAGTTAATAAAAAAAAATTAATTTTTAAATAAAAAAATTAAAAAAAATTTTTTTAAACAATTTTTTGTTTATTTACTCCTCTCTGAGAAAAATGTTATTAACATATTTGGATTCCTTATGAATTCACCTTTAATTTCATAAAAAAAAATTGATGGAGACTCAACTGGTTCCAGAGATATTGAATTTTTTGTAAAAAATAGTCATAGTTACAGCAGCAATGCACGACTGCGGTAACGTACTACGCGACTTGTGCAGTATGGTGCTATGGCGCGGCGACGCTTTTTTTTACAAAAAATTCAATATCTCCGGAACCAGTTGAGTCTCCATCAATTTTTTTTTATGAAATTAAAGGTGAATTCATAAGGAATCCAAATATGTTAATAACATTTTTCTCAGAGAGGAGTAAATAAACAAAAAATTGTTTAAAAAAATTTTTTTTAATTTTTTTATTTAAAAATTAATTTTTTTTTATTAACTTTATTTGCATTTTAAAGTACATACTTTTACCTGAAAAATGTGTAAATTTCATAAAAATCCATAAACAATATTCCGAGATATTCAAAATTTTATAAAATTAATATTAAAATTCAAAATGGCGTATCTTCAACAATTTTGAATTTTTTTGAAAAAATTTGGGGGAAAGAAGTCTCTTATATAGAACTATAATCCCACGAAGTTTTGCGAAAATCGGCATACCCTTTGCAAATCGTGATATTTCTGACGTGAAATGCCTCTAAAATTAAAAATATTGAAACATAAAATTATTAAAGAAGATAGGAAACAAAAAAGTAAATTACAACTAAATCAAAGAAGATAGAAGAAGAAGATATTAATATAGAGAGAAGATATAAAGATAGAAGATGTTAATTGAATAATTTTATATTTCTAAAAAAAATGTATTTTTCATTCTTTCCAGCATTTCCATTTTTTAAATTTATTTAAAACATTATAACGTCATAATAATAATTAAAATACCCTTAAAAATAATAATAATCATTTTAAAGAATTGCTATTTTAATAGAAAAAATATATTTATATATATATTAAAACATAAAATTATTAAAATATTAAACAAAAAAAAAATATAAACTGCGAACAGATATTTTCAATTAATAAATAAAAATTTTAATTTATTTATATAAAAAAAGAAAATGCAAAAATATATTAATTAATAGAAGATGAAATAATTTCTTTAATGGCATTTGAACCATAATGACGTCACAATTTGTTCACAGCATTTGCTAAAAAATTGTGACATCATAATGGTTCAAATTCGCTGAAAAAATAAAGTTTTAATTATTTAAAATAAAACGTTGAAAAAAAAATGCACGCGCGCTCGCGCGCGTCAGTTTTTGCTAGTTAGAAATAATAATCTATGAATAAATTTAAAAAATAAATTAAAGATTAAACAATCAGAGAAACAAAAGAAAAAAGTGTGATGAACAACAATAAGATTAATGACTCATGTAAAAAAATTAAAACAAAAAATAAATTTAGAAATTGAGAGGAAAAAATGACAGAATTGAATAAAAAATATTTGAAAACACTCATAAGTTGTTGAATATACACATTATACTTAAAAGAAAAAAATACTTTTCAGTCTAATAACACTTGAAAATGGGTCAAAGTAAAATAAGAACAATTAAAAACTTTAAAACGCTTTAAATAATCTTATCTTCTAAGGACAGTCGTTAATTAAGTGCATTTATACGTAAAAAAAATTCTGCATCGGAATTGGACAATAAATTGCAAATTTCAAATAGAATTTAAATTACGTTTTATTTAAATTTTCGTTCTTTTGAATATTAGAATTTTTTTTAAAAAAGTAGTTAATTTAAATTATATTTTTTTCTCACATTCCTTTAGTCATCATAACAATATTAGAAAAACGTCTGTAAAATTAAATTGACAATTACTTCATATGAATTAGTTTTGCAAAAGCACCTGTGTTATCGCTTAGTATATTTTTTTATTGCCTTCGTAGTTAAAGAATCAACTGCATTAAAAGGCAAAAATTACAAAAATTCATTTACATCTTAGAAACAAAAATAAACCGAAATTTTTCTAAAAACAATTATAAATATATATATTTAAATTATTTAAATTAAAAAATTTTGTATTTCTGCTAAATCTTAATTTATCAAAAATCTCATTTTCTACATTCTTAATTATTTAAAATATTTAAAACAATAATTGTGAAAAAATAACGAAAATGCAACTATCAAGAAATTCTAACCTCAAATAAATGTCATTGAACTTTTGACCTACTTTGACAGAAAAAAAGGTAAAATAATTCATCTATTATTGTGATTTCAATAAATATAAACAATATCTAACCGACTGTTAATTTAAATTCGAGTGTAAAGATTTATTTTCTTTTCCCCAAAGGTCAATGACAAATGTTTTGACAACAAAATCTATCTATAAAATATTCAGTTAAAAGTAAAATTTTTTAATTTTTAGCGAAAAAAAAATCATTTACAGATATATTGAATTAATTTCCATAAAACCAGCTTATTTCAGAACCATGACCAAGACAACGTAAACGAGAGATGAGAGAAAAAGTGCAAATAAAAAGACATGTGTGTGATGAGAAAAAAACTCACCTTTCTACCTTTAAATTCGAAATGCTTCTTCTTGTTCATTTACAATTGTTTTTTTAATGAAAACCGCAAAAGAGGATAAAGGTCGAAGATGGAGTTTTTCCTTTTATAATTAATGTTGTTGTTGTTGTTGTTAGTACATCCGGATTATAAACGCAGGTGTCCTGAAAAATTTTTGCCTTGTTACCTCTTCGATAGACACAAGCCAGCTGCTCTCCCAACCTCTCCTTTTATAAAACGTATACAACAAAATCGACTCGTATAACAGCGCTCAACACTGTCGATTAGAATATTTTCTTCTTTTTCTTTTGCCCAAAACTTTTTTTTTCAGATTTTTCAAAAAATTTCCCCTCAAGTTCGTGTCTCATCACTTTTTTTGTTTCAACTGTAAAACAAAATACTGTCAGCCATTATGGATATAATAACAAAGAAAAACACTGCGAATAAACTTTATAGTCTTCTCACTTGTAATTTCACGAGGTCTCTTTTTTTTATCTTTTTATAAATTCGTATTTGATAAATGTTCTCTCATATTGCTGATAAAAACACAACAATGACGTGAGGATTATCTTGTCAATATTTCCGTTTTTCCCCCGCGAGCTGCTTTTATCAAAAAATAGGAGTCGAGATCGAAACTGCGTAGATTTTTCCCGCCGTAAAGCAACAGGTATTTTCCCATCATTCCTAAAGAGGGAACTTCCGGTAAATTAATCTGTAAATGAGAAAGAGAGAGAGAGATAAATGAATGTAAATAAACAATGACAAATAGAGATCACGTGACCGGAACCACGTGCTATTTTTGAAACATTTAAATAAAATTACGTCTCAAAATAAAACAATCGGTAAAACAAATTTATAAATTACTAGCGACAATTCTAAAGGCTAACTTTTTACTGCCTTTTTTAAAATAAAATTAGCAATTTTAAAAATAATAGAATTTAAAAATTTTCCAATTTAAATTTTTGTTGAAAACACTACAAAAATTCAATTTTGGAGAAATTACAAATATTTGCAGAAATTCAATTATTTAAAAAAAAAATTAAATTCTTATAAAATTCAATTACTTTCAAAATTTAAAAAAAATTCCAATTATCTTTATAAATAATAAAATTATTGTCCAAAGTTCAATTATCTTCATAAATGTCACAAAAAATTCTTGTCCTAATTTTAATTCTTTTCAAAAATTTTTCTAATTTCAATTATTTTCAATTATTTTCAATATCTACTATTTTAATAAAATTTCCCAAAAAGAATTCAATTATTTAAAAAAAATTTCAATAAAATTCTATGCAAATTGTGAATCATAAACAAAAATAATGCAAAATAAATAAATTTTCTATTTCTTAATAACAGTTGTTTAACAATTTTCTAATTTTTCTTTTCAAATATTTTCAATTTTTAAATTAATGTATTCAAAATCATCGAATTGTTGCTATAAGAATTTTATCATAAAATTTTATAATAATCGAATTCCTTCAAATAATTTTATTACTTATGAAAATAACTGAAATCTCGCGAAAATTTTTTAAAAATCCTAATTAAATTCTTTTGAAGAATTTCTTGGAATTTTCTTTAAACTAATGGAGTTTATTTAATAATTTGAATTGAAAATTTTGAAAGCAATTGGAATTTTATTAAAATTGTATTGAAAATAATTGAATTCTTCCGAAGAATTGTATTATTTATAAAATTAATTGAATTATTGCAAAGAATTTTACTATTTATAAAAATAATAGAAATGTTTAAAAGAATTTATTAAAATTTTTAGAAATAATTAAATTGTTATGAAGAATTTTATAGAAATATTTAAAAATAATGAAATTTTTTCGAGAAATTAAATTCAAGTTGTTTCGAAAATAATTGAATTTCTTTAAAGAATTTTATTAAAATTAAGTACATATATTCAAAATAATTGAATTCATCGCAAGAATTTTATTTTTTTTTGGAAAATAATTGAATTCTTTCAATTTTTTTTACGAATATATTTAAAAATTGCATTCAAAAGTAATTTAATTTTTATATAGAATTTTTTAAAAATATTTTTGAGAATAATTAAATTATTTTTAGAAACTTTTAAATTCTTTTTTTGAAATTCAATTTTATGAAAATTTTTGAAAATAATTAAATTCTTTCATGTAATTTTATTTAAATTGGATTAAAAATTATTTAATTCCTGCAAAGAATTTTAGTAATTATAAAAATAGTTGAATTGTTTCGAAGAATTTATTAAAATTTTAGGAAATAATTGAAATTTATGTTAAATATTTAAAAATAATTAAATTCTTTCGAGGAATTCTATTAAAATTGTTTTGAAAATAATTGAATTCCTGCAAAGAATTTTACTATTTATAAAATTAATTGAATTCTTGCGAAGAATTTTACCATTTATAAAAATAATTGAATTTTTTCGAAAGATTTATTAAAATTTTAGAAAAAAATTGAATTTTTTCGAAATGTGTTAAATTTTTTTTCTGAAAATTGAATTCTTACGAGGAATTCAATTAAAATTGTTTTGAAAATAATTGAATTTTTGTAAAGATTTTACTATTTAAAAAAATAATTTAATTGTTTAAAAGCATTTATTCAAATTTTAGAAAATAATTGTTTTGTGAAATTTTATTATAGAATTTTTGAAAATATGAACAGTAATAATTAATTTCGTACTTAATAAGTGAGTTTTTTAAATTTTGACTATGAAATCATTTAAAAAATTTATATTTGAAAATAAAACAATTTTGTTATTTGCACAACAATAATAATGAAACATCTCGTTTTGCGCGCTAGCGTGCGTAAATTTTGCTAGTAATAATATATTATACGCAATCTATCTAAAGTTAACAAAAAACAAAAGTATAAACAAAAGACAACTTCAGAGTGAGAGGGACAGAAAAATTGAATGAATGAAAAAATGAAATAACATTCAAATTATTATAGTTAATATTTGAATGAAAAATATTATCGGTATGATATTTTTATGACTCAAGGATCGTTAAACTTGTTTCTTGAGACAAATAAGATTGACTCTTGTTTTATTTTCAAATATAAAAATTGTTTCAGGTATAAAAATTGATGAGAAATGTTTTTTGTAATACAATATGTTCTTGAGGACTATACGGACAAGACCAATTTAGAATATTCGCGGTCCTTTAGAGAAAGAGAGAGAGAGAGAGAGAGAGAGAAAGAGAAAAAAAGAGAATCAAGTCGTCTGAAATATAGATGACCGGTTGTAGAAAAGTAAGAAGAGCAGGAATAAAAGGGTACCTCGATGTTTCTTGCTCCTTGGATTGACGTCACATGTGCGTCAGAGAAGCCAAAGAAACAAGAAAGTTTCGATTGAATGATCGCGGCCGCAACCAGTGGTTTGCTATCATTAATTCTTTTCTCCTTCCCAACAACAATCAGCCCATTATCTCGTCATTTCAAGTGCCCCTTCACCACTTGAGCCCATCTGCCACAACTATTTTGTCATTTAAAATTGCCAACCAGGAATTTTCAATAATAATTCCATTTTTTATTTCTATTTCTTTTCCTCACTCTTCACTCTTCATTCGATTTTAATTTCAATTTTCAAATCATATTTCCGGATTTGTAAAATTCAAATTTCTCTCTCCCTTGAATCCTCGAATTGCCAAAAAACAAAATTTATGACTCGATTAAATTTGGAGCGAGGTCACGACTGAATTAAAAAAAAGTCTTTGGTCCAGATTTTTCGCTTCTTCACTTTTTGGATCTGCAATTAAATATTTAATATTTTGAATATAAGAAAAAATTAATTAATAAATTAAATACATAAATAAATTAATTAATAAATTAAATATATAAAAAAGTAAATAACACCTAAAGTAGATAATAAATTAAATATATAAATAAATTCATTAATAAATTAATTACAGAAATAAATAAATTAAAAATATAAATAAAATACACAAAAAATAAATGTTCACCTAATTGCCAAGAGAATTGAACTGAAAGGTCAGTTTAAAATTTAGTATATAAAATAAATATAGTCGTGTAAAAAAGAGATCTCTAAAACGTGCTTGGTCAGCTTTTTTGCACTTAATCATCGACTCATTGTGTAAAAACAAAATAAAGCTTTAAAAGAAGTACTTCGTGACGTTTTCACAAAAGATAAATTATTGTTAACAAACACTTTTTTTTCATTATTATAGAATTTTTTATCACTTCTACCATAAAAGACTCACGTTTTAAGATAATTATTGAAATTAGCTATTTTTTTTTCTCTTCATTTAACAGTTATTAAAAATCAAAAAGATTGTCTTGTGAAAATAAAAAAAAAATCATTTAAAATATAAATATAATTTTAAAAAATAATTAAACGAAAAATTTGTTTAGAAATAAATTATTAAGTAGAGAAGTATGTTTTTAATGATTCTGTTAATCATCAAGAATGGGTTCGTTGATCTCAAAGTAAATAATGTTAAATTGAAAAATATGACTCTTTGGGTCATGTGCCTGCTCGGGGATAATTTACATTTGAAATGCGTACAGAAAATGCGTAATTGTCTAAATGAACATGAGTCGAGAGGCAAATTTAATATTAAAAGCGTGGACACAGCCTATCTAATGACTAATTGGTCCAGATGTTATCTCGCATTGTAATTTTAATGAATCAAGTTTGAAGAGAAATAAATGCAAATCAGTATATATTAATTCGAAAAAAGAAATCATAAACTATTACGCAAAAAAATATTTTATAATTTTATAATTATTTAAAAATTAAAATATTTTACAATTAATAATTTAAATATAATTTAACACACTTTTTCTTTTAATTTTATTCTCGAAAATCTCGAGCCTTAATTAATTAATTTAATTAAATTCTTGAGTCAATATCAATTTTTCATTATAGCAGAAAATTAAATTTTTTTAGCAGAAAAAAGAGAGTCAATTAGTGATAAAAATAATTTTTGAAGTGAAAGTTTTCTCTATTTTTGAATTAAAAAAAAAATCCATTCAATTCTACACCTAGAAGTGGAAGTCGATTGAAAATGTATTTAGGCCAATGTCGATACTCAATACGAGGTTGTCACCTCTCATTTGTGTCCCAGTTAACTGATTGCTTATCGCGCCCATTTTTTAAAAAATTTGAATTGCTAAATTTGGAGTTTGCATCTAAACAATCGTCATCTGTTCATCTTGACTCGCGCTCTCAATAAATAGATCACGTGTTTATACTCAAGCAATCTCTCTTTCTCTCTCACTAAACTCAATTTATTGAAAACAATTGCAATTTATAAGAAATAATTCTATTTCATAAGCAAAATTGAAATTTTCCCTTAATTTTAATTTTTTAATCAATAATTACAATTTCTAAGTGCTAATTAAAATTTCTAACGAATAATTACAAATTCTGCTATACTGAATCGAATGAAATGAATTCAGAATATTTCGCTCCAAAATAAAATCAGTCAACTAATTTAACTCCGAAAAGTAAAATTTTCTAAAGAAGAATTTTTATTTACCAAAAAATAATTTTGTTT